TATTATTATTGCGGAAGTTTTGTGCCTTTGTGTGTTCCTATATACTTATTTAAAATTATACAGTTGAACAATAAAAAATGTTACTTATTTACTATTTTACACTTATGTAATAGGTATCTTATGTATATGTATACGACCTATGCCCCGCCAACAGCTTGCTGCTCGCTGGGCTTGCCCGGCTAGAGCGCGGCTCATGGCGGGGCATACCACCGGACTCGACACCGCATCGGGCCCCGCAAGGAGCTCGACTAATCCAACCCCTCGCCTGCTGTAGCAGGCAGCTAGCGCATCCGCCGAGACAGGCATCGGCCTGCATCACGCGACCTCGCGCCCCCAGCCGGGGACGCAGAGATGACCCGACGACAACTGTTGGGCAGAAAGCCCGCCAGGCACGATCACCTCGCCTGGTCGGAGGATCCTCCTTTTCCGATCTTAGGGAACTATACTCTCTGTTCTCTAAATATATATTTGTTACTCAATACCCCTATGCTAAAATGGGTGACAATATCATTTTGGTTTTCCTCAATCTCTAAGTATAAGACACCTAATAGTATAAGTAAGCACCACCGCACCGTAAGCACGGGCCTGCAGACAGCGAGCATGAGTGGCTCCCCGTCCGACCAGAAACAGACCCGAACGTTGCACGTCGCGTTCCGCGCGCGCCTCAAAGAGTCATCAGACCACCACAGATGGGGCCCAATAGGGCTAATGCCGATACGGAGCCGCGGAGAACTTAACGGGTTACTGGGGCTCCGGCTCGAAGTGCAGGAGAAGGAACGGAGTGGTTTTTAGTCAGTAAGAGTCTGACACTCCTAGTTTAGATAGACACTAGTTTAGATACTACGTCACTGCTCCTAATTAAGAGATAGTTTAGGAATAGATGGTGAAAAAGTGCAAATATCTCCTAGAGGCAATAAATATTTCTCATAAAAAATACTGTCGATATTTTTTTTTCAATAAATAACAACCCTACTTCACGGCAATTACTCGGCGGGTAGTCGGCAATATTCACTAGTAGCGTCCCGCGAACCTTCATATAGAGGACTGCAAATCAACATACACCAAATAACCAAACATCGTCCAAAACAAATACAACTTTATTTTCCTAAAGCTAAAGTTGAAAATACATTGCAAGGTAAGTACAGCTTGATATGCATCTCAACATATTTTAAACTGACAAATATTGCCAATAAAATATAAACCTTATGATCTTAAAACTAAAGTTGAGAATACATTGTAAGGTAAGTATAGGTTGATGAGCGTTTGGACTGAAGTACGTCGTAATTTCACGCTTGTATGGCAGGGGTATCAGCAGAGACGGTGGTAGAGGGTCGAAATAAGTGAAGATGTAACAAATGTTAGTAATTGGACGTCTGTTATGGTTTTAGAATATAGAAGGAGATTTTATTTTGACATGTGGTGTAAGCAGCGCTGTATGTGGTATTTTTATTAGGTTGGTCATTAGAATGCCTCGTTGGCCGAGCGGTCGCAAGTGCGACTGTCGGGCAAAGTATTCTTGGGTTTTAAAAAAAACAGTATTAGTTCGGAGTCTGGAATTGTGCCCGGTATATGGCAATAGGCTCACCCCCTATTACATGGGACTCACAATATAAATAGTGAAAAGTGGGTGTTACATTGTACAGTGGCATTAAGGTAATTGGGTACTTGCCAACTAGTCAAATTCAATACTTTTTAACCGACTTCAAAAAAAGGAGGAGGTTCTCAATTCGACCGTATATATGCTTTTTTTCGAACTGAGATTGTGTATTGTGACGTCACGATTTTTAGTAAATTAAATACTAAAATTGAGTTGGTCATAAAATCAATGAATGACAGTGTGATTATTTTTTAATATTATATTGTATTGAACAGTCGAAATAATTTATTTTTGATTAGGGAAAGTACCCAATTTACCTACCATGATAAATATGATATTAAAAATACATAATATTAAATATATTAATGAATAAATATATACTCTGTACTCCAAACTACCCAATAATATGCTTAAAATTTCCAAAACGAGCACAAATTAAAAAAAAATCAGGAATCGACTCAAGACTTCAAACTATTTTATTGCTATTTTTAAACACATGTAACAACATTTTCTATAATCTACTCTACTATATAAAAATAAGTCGGGTTTTCTTCCTGACGCTATAACTTCAGAACGCACGAACCGATTTCCACGGTTTTGCATTCGTTGGAAAGGTCTCGGGCTCCGTGAGGTTTATAGCAATGAAAATTTACTAATCACCAAACGAAATGTTACTTACATTAAACGAAGCCCTCTGGTGGCGAAATGGAGTTCGCAGAGTTTGCTAGTCTGTTTTAAAAACGAATCACAATTCCGGTTTGCGTTGACGTCCTGTCGAACTAACGCGGGATTGCGAGCGCCTCTACGCCGACTGATGGAAACTTATAATAAGGATTTCCACTATATTGATATGTTTTCTTTTAGTGCCAAACAGTTTAAGGTCTACTAGAATCACTTACTGATTATTAAAATTGATTTTTTTTCGTTTTTTCGTTTTTCATTTGTTTGTATAAAGCTAAATTTAATTTAATTTGATTATGCTGGTCGGTCTTATAGTGATTTAATTTTATTTTCATTTAATTTGTAAAAGTCTCAACATGTTTTTTTTTCTCTCTTTTCTGAACCATATATAACCACAAAAAATTATATATAATTATCATACTTTTGCCTTTCCCCTCAGGGATCAAAAGGCGTAATGTTATTTATGTTTTCTTAGTATATTTTATTAGTTATATAAGTTTGTGTGATGGTGTTTATAATTCAATTTATATTCTGTGGAAAACGCCGTTGGTTACACATTTGTTCAAACCTATGTATTGTGTCATAATGTATCATGTAATGTGTCACTGTTTGTTTTCCCAAATAAATAAAATAAAAATAAAAATAAAATTCCAATTACAAATAGGTAACCTTCGATATTTAAAACAAAAAAAAAACGGATACATATGGAACGCGACGTATTTCCGGCGGGAGATCGTTAAACATAGTTCCATATACAAAAAAAACAGTCGTTCGAACATTACCTCCTCCTTTTTTGAAGTCGGTAAGAATGAGAGAGACGTAACGACTTTTCTATTGTACTTTTATAACATGGGACGGTAATATTATTTGATTTATTTGTTCCAATCTGTTTTAATATAAAGGTTTTATTTAACCTTTGATGTTTGTAAACCTTTGATCTTTCCGGTCTTGTAGAACTGTGTTTAATGTACCAGCTCTGGACAGTATACTGCTAGACTATCGGCCTCCTCTCCCCACGTAAGAGAGTTTGCTATATTCTCCTCACTTGGCAGGCGGGCTAAATATCGTTGTTTTAATGGTCAGCTCACCTACAACCACAACCTCCTCACAGCCCAGCCGTCGCAAAGGACATTCCAGGCACCGAGGATCGCGGGACGATCTCCGGCCATCGTAAGCGCGGGCCTGCGGACGGTGAGTATGGGTAACTCCCCGTCGAATCAGGAGGCTTACTCTTGAATCCAACATTTGGAGACCAAAGTCTTCAAATGTTCGACCAGGTGAGAAAAAAAATTTTAGGAAGTACGAAGTTTGCCGGGTCATCTAGTCCTTACTAATCCTTACTAATATTATAAATCGGAAAGTGAGTTTGTTTGTTTGTTTGTTTGTTCCGCCTTCACGCCGTAACTACTAAACGATTGCTTTGAATTTTTGTAGAAGTAAAGTTAGAAGTCCGGATTAAATAATAGGGTACTTTTTGTCCCGGAAAAATTGATATTTCCGATTAAAAACAAAAGTCTTGGTATAGATGGCGCTGTGTGTATTGGTATATGTCACATAGGCTACTTTTTATCATTTTGTGACGCGAGCGAAGCCGTGGGTAAAAGCTAATAGAAAATAAAAGAAAGATCAGCACACAATTTGTTTAATTTAAGAACATGCTCTCAAACACTAGCTACGTAGTAAGGATTTTATTGATCTAGGCTTGGACTTCGACTCCTTGACTTGTATCAGGAATTGTCTGAAAAAATAATACATTTTATTCACTTCGATGACTAAAACACCATTTTATTTCTATTTATGTTTAGTTAAACAAGCAGATGGTGCATACAGGGCCGTTTTAGACTACGCTGAGGCCTTTGAATACAATTAGGTATTTGGGGCCCTTTCGGATTTTTTATTGTTTTTCACGTTGCCCCACACCAGGATTTTCTGCTGTATTGTGGGTGTATTTACAGACATACAAGTTCACATACACATGACAACCAGAACCGAAACAAAAATTTGTGGATTACACAGACTTGCTCCGTGCGGGAATCGAACCCGCTACAAGTTGCAGGGCAGCTGGTTGACGCGCAATGTGTAGCGGGTGTGTGTCCGTCGCAGAGATTGTCTTTCGGGGGCCCTCGATTGGGGGCCTCGGGGGCCACGGTACAAGCTTAGGTATCATCATATCAGCCACAGGACCTCCACCGCCTTACACAGGCCTCCCCCAATGACTTCCAGATAGGCCAGTTGGAAGCGACCTGGATCCAGCCGCTCCTGCGACCATAATTAGGTTGTCTGTATATTATTATCTTGTTGGTGATCCAGCTACGCTTACGGATACGGGGCTTCTAAGAACCTTTCTACTCCATTGATTGATAGATAGCTTATAGCGAACTTAACAATATGTAATTTAAATTAAATAAAAAATTATAAAGTAGCTAATGTCGGAATACTCAAACGCTACTCAATTTTAAGTCGTGCTTAAGTATAGTTCTGTCTCTACAAATTCTTTGTAAAGTGACAGAGATGGCACGACCGCACGGTATTTGAGCAGGACTTAAAATTGAGTAACGTTTCAGTATAAGTAAACCAAAACAAAACGGAAAAAACGATTCGTTTACAGTGACTTAAATTCTATCTACAACACGAAACATATTTCCCTAAATAAAATGGATGAGATCTAGTTATCTAGTAAATATGAAATATACTATATGTAACTATTATGATATAATAAATCTTACTCCACGACATTCTTTAGCTCCGGTGCTTCGCATAGATTATTGTGTCCCAGCCCCAAACCCCGCTCAAATGCATGGAATACTAGCGGAGCATCCGACTTCTTTCGGGATTCACCCACTTTTGCATGTAACTAGACAAAAAAGATTAATTAATGCATAAACAATATGTGACAAACTTGAATAAAACAGAAATGGTCCTAATATTCTGCCCTGAGGAATCCTGTTCATGGTAACTTTTCAAATTTTGTTTTTTTTTTTTTTTAGTTCCTTATTTTAAATTTTATACCATACAGTTGTGATTTGAAAAACTAAACTCTATATTAGGTAGGTATATAGGTAGGTAGGTATTTTGGCGATAAACAACTTAGTATCGAAAGCCTTGGTCAAATCTAAGAAAAATAAAATCCGTGATTACAATTTGATTAAATAATAATTATGTTATCTTTTTCGTTGAAATACATAAACCATGGGTTAGTGTCGTTATCATTTTACCTAGAAATAAACATGTTGACACCGAAACTTTGGTTAACAGTGCCATTTTGATTTATATTAGGAAACAAAGAAATGGATCCACGCGCGTTATTTATTTTATTTTATATAACCGTCAATAGCTTTAAAAAAGATATTCCTTTTGTATCAAAATACTCTCATTTTAAAGGTAACTAAAATGCCTTTTATACGACATACGTTACCAATAGGGTAGATGCTTAATTTTTATTTTAATGCCCATCTGGTAGATTATTTTAAATCATTAGATACGTATTTTTTATTTTCTTACATACTAAATACTTTCGACGATATATTGATTTGAAATGTCGTGTGACGTCACTTGACTATGTACATTTTATACGTAAAAATGACGTTTTAGCCCCCACTCCTAAACTTTGATTCGTTTTATCTAAGTATTGTTTTATTGTACGACAAAATAAAAAAATACGTGTCTGATATTTTTTCATTACCTAACTTACGGACTAATCAGAGTTTTAATTTTCATACCCTGTCATCATCCCAATTAACAAAATACTTGTGTCAGAAAACATGTATCAAGATAATTATAATAAAAAAAAAACGCTTGTCACTCCATATCTAAATATTTATACTTCTATTGGTAGCCACAAAGTTTACGGCCTGCCTGAGGGAAAATGGATACGGTAGCCTAAATAAAATTACACCCACTTGCAACTCACGAGCCCCGGAGGTTAAGTAAGTACATCAGTATCACTACGGGCCATGTAAGACACTGTTAAATTGAGCTGTAGTTTCGGTAAAAAAAAATGGATTAAAATGAAACTTGACAGATAAGTACCTTAACAGCTAAATTGAAGGGCACAATCTTGTCTCCCTTGGAGTGCAGCATGAGGATAGGTAAATTTGGCACGCGGCAGAGGTACTGGTCGGTGGTGAACGTGTATTCTGATGATGCGGTGAATGGTTTCACGAAGGTGTCCTTGTAATAGGGCAGCCAGGATACGAACTGGAGGGAGGAGAATAGTAATTTACACATACATGACATCACCGCTTTTATCCCCGAAGCGGTTGGCCGAGGTGCACATTACGGCAATTAATGTTACTGTACAATGTAACACCCGCTTTTAAGTTTATGTTATGAGTCCCATACAATAGGGGGTGAGTCTATTGCCTTATACCGGGGACAATTCCAGTCTCCGTGCTACTACTGAGAATTTTTAAAAACCCAAAACACTTTGCTCGACCCGAATCTAACCCAAAACCCCTTGCCCGGCAGTCGCACTTTCGAGCACACGGCCGATGAGGCAGTTTTTTAGACAGAGACAGTAATTTAGATCGATAATTTTTTAACTCGTCGAGTACCGGTTTTATAGACACAATTAAAGAACAATAGGTCGCGGTCACCGGTGACCGCTTGGTGTCTGACAGTTTAAAACAGCTTATTGTTGATCTTGATATTTATGTGTCCATGATTGTCTATGGACTATGAACTCCCACCACATTATGATTATTATCATCATACATCATCTCTACTTCGTTTTGGAGATTCATTCTAATCACAGTTTCAGGTTTATCAGAGAGCACTGCGTTGTTGTCCCACTCATGAATTTTCTCTTGTGTTGTATGCGTTTAGGATAAATTCACTTTCACTTGATCCACTTGCAGTGGGGTCGTTTACAAATATATAGAGGTAAGTTCACATACACATGACGACACCCTAACTCGTAACAACGACTTCTAGATCACCTTAAAGTGTTGTTCCAGTAACGATACCGTGGCGCGTTGCACAGTGCCCGATTTCATTGCCACTGTACAACTCGTTTAGTCAAAAACAACGTAAATCGATCATTTTTATAATTACGACTCGCCTTAGAAAAGGGATGGCTCTCGATCTCGTCTGTGAGGTTATTGAACGCCGCCTCGAGTACCACTGCGTCTGGTAGCGGCAGCTGAGCGCGACCTTGACTGCGACAGAGATCTGATAGGTTGGCCGCCATATTTGCTGCTACTGCCGTCCCTGGGACAATTAAATCCAATAGCTATTAAAGTAAATTAGTATAAATGTAACCGGAGAGTCTTCAAGGCCTGAATGAATAGGTTGTGGGCAGGCGGGCCCCATCATCAACTGTGAAACGCTGGCCATTACATACAATAAAAATAAGACAGCAGGGGCGAATGAACTTTTTTATGGGATAAGCCCGTAAACGAGCAGATAGATCACCTGATGGTAAGCAATCGGCGCCGCCTACGGACACACGAAACACCAGGGGCGTAACAAGTTCGTTACCGGCCTTTTAGGGATTATGAATCTGAGGATTGTTAGGAATTGGGGAGGGATTAGCTGATGGATTATCTGATATTAGGCAAGCAATAATTAGCGCTGCCCATGAATATCACCAGACTAGCTACAAATACATTGTCGTGCCGTTGACTCCTTTGGGGGTAAAGGAGGACTGGGCAGGAAAAGCATTGGGTCTCCCGTATACGGCAGTCACTCGTACGGCGAAAATCAACACAAGTGTTGTTCCTTGTTGCACGCCGATTTTACGCCAGCCCCTGAAATCACTCCTGTTCAAAAAAGGTGTTAAACATAAAAAATACTACATCAGAAAATTTTATAGGTAGATGCTTACCTAAAGAGTGTCCCCATACAATAACAGGTGGTCTGTCCTTCTCATTGAGTGAGTCTACCAGCCAGGCGTACATCGCCAGGGCATCTTCCACCACTCCTCGCTCCGTCGGCCTCACATGTGTGGAGTCACCGTATCCTAGACAAAAACATTTGAAAACAAAATGTCGTCCGCATATTTTTTAAGTTATGCAAAACGAATTCTTAATCAGATTTTCATTTATTTATCTGATACCTACATCTTTTTTTTAATTGGACAAACCCGCCACTACGTCCCAAAACCGCTGCAACTACTGTAAACCAGGATTTACAGTAGATACAACCACGAAAACACCGGAGCACTGAAGTCCGGCGCGAGTCTCAGAGACATGAATAACTGTCTTGGTTCCCGCAACGAAATAAATCAGGAGATAATAATTGAGGAGAAGAAAAAACGATAGCATCTACTGTTTTTTTAGGGGTGAAAAGTCGTCGAATGACTTCTACCTCCTGGGTGAAGCGGAATGGAGTGTCAGGCTCTCACTGACTAAAAAACACCTCGTTCTTACTAGGACTAATCCTGCCCTAGCGGCTCTGTATCGTTATTAGCCCTATCGGGCCTCATCCATGGTGATCTGGTGGCTCTTTGAGCGAACGGACGGAGTTCGCCGTCCGCAGGACCGTGCTTACGGTGGCCGGATATCGTCGCATCTACTGTTTTAACATCCAGACATGGTTGTGCTGTATCACCCTACTCTTCCTATTTTAACAGGTTGCCAGAGTAATAAGAATCTGACACTCTTGCTTCACTCAAGGCGGAAGAACTCATTGGATGATTTTCCGCCCTCAAAAAAACCCTTCCTATTTTATATACTGTAGCATATGAATTAACGATACCTCTATAGACAATTAAATTATTTGTTCACTGTTTAAATTAGTATATATTTCTTTGTTAATTATTTATTTCCACGGAATATAGAATACAATATTCCGTGTTTATTTCCCTTGTATCAAACAGTTGAATTAACAAATCGCAATTTTGCCTTAATTATCTACAGCGAAATTCGCGTGAAATATCATTGTATCAAAAGTCAATAACTGCTCTAAAATAATTAATTATTATGCAATATAATGAACCTCTATAGTCGAATGTAATCACATGGAAATTTAATTCTTGGAACACTTTGTACATTTGTAGTCTGTGGGGCGAAGCGCGGTGGTTTGAATTCCCTGAAACAAATTCATTATAGTAATAATTATACATTACTGTATTATTATTCATTGAAAATAATACATAATTAAATAAAGAATCAACAATCGTCTGTCTGTACAGAAATGTAAATATATAATCAACAAATTAATATCAAATACGTAGGTTATTCTTTTAGACGCCTACTAATTTTATTATAGCCACTTTCTGTTTGATGTACATACTGCTATTATTAAAATTGTAGGCGCTTTATAACTAGTTTACAATCTCCATTTAAAGAAATTGATAGACTTTAAAATATGTATATATATATAAGTATATAATGTTTCTATTATTGTCCTACCGTACTTGATTTGTACTTAATATTTTGACATAGCGCGGCAAACGAGCACTTTCGTCAACTGACTGATGGTAAGCAATCGGCGCCGCCCATGGACACTTGCAACACCAAGTTACAAATGTGTTGCTGGCTTTATGGGGCACAGGGATTAATTGTAGAAATATGTGTATCTCCTTAAGGCTAAGGAGTCACGGCGCAATCTTGTCCCGCGCCCGCCATGATGGTGGAATGAAGGCGAAATTTTCAAAAGTCACGAGACCGGACATTTCTGCGAACCCGCAAACGCTGCAATTGCGATTATCACCCGCAAAGTTAGCGGTTGAATATGGTAAGACAGGCGGTTAAACAATCAGTTAAGTTCCAGACCGGCGTCCCTTTGCGATCGCCTGCCAGCCGATCGTAGAGCACGCGGGACAGCGGCCGTGCCGCCAGTGCAGAGGGAACCGCAATCGCAATCGCAACCGCCGCGGGCGTAAAACACGCCGTGAAAATTGCTTTGATTTTATTAAATACATATCATCATCATCATCATCAACAGCCGGAAGACGTCCACTGCTGGACAAAGGCCTCCCCCTTAGCCCTCCACGTCGAACGACAACTCGCCACCCGCATCCACTGGCTCCCCGCAACTCTGGCGATGTCGTCGGTCCACCTAGCGGACATATGTATAATCTGAATTCTACAAAGGCAGTGGGCCCGAATGGTAGGCTGCGCGACATCGCCGCGACCGCGCACACTGCTCATGAGGAAGAACCCCTCTGTGGTTCGAAACTAATAGAGCTTTTCTCAGCATATTCACGTGAGTAGTTTAGTATGTCTCACGATAGTTATTATAAAAAAATTGTTGTTCTTACCATGACAATAAAGTACGACTGTATTCTGTGTCCGCTTCAGTTCCTGATGCAGACGAGCGTCCACTGACAGGTAATCACGAATCACAAACACCTCGCGAAACATTGAACACGGAACTATGTGCCAGGCTCCTGAAATGATGTTAATAAATAAGTATTCACTAATACCTTGAATAACATGCCATACCTATTACTATGTAATGTTATGAATAACAAAATCTCTTTGCAAAACAATTCTTGCACTTTTTATTAGCTGCCGTTTCTAAGTCTGCCGTTTCATAGTTTCTACTATATGTTATTATTGCGGATTTCAATATCCACAATAATTCTAAATGACCCAGGCATTGGAAAGCCATACTTCGGCACGAATGGGCTGGCTCGATGTGATACCACGGCCTCACAGAAAACCGACGTGAAACAACGCTTGCGTTGTGTTTCGTCGTGAGAGAGGGGTTACTGGAGACCCAATTATCCCACATCCCTCAATCCCTGAATCCAAAACAATCCTCATATTCTTATTCGGTAAAAGGCCAGTAACGCACTTGTAACGCCTCTGGTGTTCGGGTGTCCATGGACGACGATTGCTTACAATCAGGTGATGATCCTGAGCGAGCAGACGCGCGTTTATCGGCTTATTCCATTAAAAGGTAGGATTGAACTTGGATCTCTGTATTAACGCCACTACATTGAGTGTCTTGAACACCAGAATATATTAATCACCTAAATATACGCTAGCCTATAGTCTACACTACTTCTAGTGGGTAGTTAGTATAGAACTTGGAAATGCGGTTACCAAGTTTGATAGGACAGGAATCGACAGCAGACTGGAACGAGATATTGAAATACCTCCCTCCGACGACGTTACAACTTGACGGGTTCTCATAATCCAAGTTCCTTGGATAGTTTACTGCAATCATAATTAATTTCACATTAACTTACCATTTACCAGTTCTTTCGATAATTTATTTATAAACGCCTACTAAAATTATTATAGCAAAGTGAGTTTTTGTACAATTGCTCTTTAAAAATAATTAGGCAACGTTGCGCTATGAAAAAGCGATGTACTAGGTTTTGTCCGTAGTTTTGCCTGTGTGAACTCATATTTCTCAAGACTCTCTTGATCTAAATAAATTATTAAGTTTTCGGCTTACTCACGTAGTAATACGACGAGGAACTCGATATGAGCCACTAGCATGGCTTGAAACTAGTCGAGTTCCTCGTCAAATTACTACGTGAGTAAGCCGAAAACATAATAATTTATTTAGTATGTCTCACGAAAGTTACAATACTCTCTTGATCTAGTTAGACCTATTCTTATTAATTAAAAAGTAAATTTTCCAATAGTAGGTAAATTACTTTCAAATAATTCAATTTTCGTCGTCTCTTCGTGGTGGCCCTGGGGCTTAAGACGCCTGCTTCTCATGTATGAGAGGGTTCGAAACCTACCAACGGCAAGTACCAATGTGATTTTTCCGAGTTATACGTACTTTCTAAGGTTATTTAGATACCACTGACAAACGGTGAGGGAAAACATCGTGAGGAGAACTGGGCTTATCATTTCTAAATTATAAGTTTGAAATCCCCAACCCGCATTGAGCAAGCGTAGTGATTAATGCTCAAAACTTCTCCGTGTGAGAAGAGGCGTTTGGTTAGCAGTCGCCACTTATAGGCTGTTGACGATGATGAATTCAATATAACTGTATATTATATATGTATGTATATATGTATGCATATTGTAGGCATATTGTACTCATGTATAGGTATATATTATAATTAAATTTATTTATGTATATCTACGAAATATATTAGTTTATCCTTCATTGTTAAATAAAATCACTGCTTGCCTGTTGCACCTACCAATTACTCTTCTCGGCATCACCCAAAGGTCAGACTGGTAGAAAATGCCTGCGGCATTAAGTCCACCTTTTTGTACATTTTGTGCATGAAGCATATTAAATAAATAAATAACTCGATATAATAAATAGTGTAAAGAAAAACCAAAAGCTTACTGCAATTAGAAAACACCATTTTCCTTTGAACTGACTTGCTGTATTTAAAAAGTAGGGGTAACACAGCCACTTGAACTACAAATATGCTCGCTGTCACCGAAGCGCCAGTCACTAATATGGTCCTAAACATCAGAAAAATGTTAGGAGTTCACTTAAACCTTAAGTGCAGGAGAGCCATGCTTCGGCACGAATGGGCCGGCTCGACCGGAGTGATACCACGGCCAAGTAGAAAACCGACGTGAAGCAATGCTTGCGTTGTGTTTCGTCGTGTGAGTGAGGTTACCGGAGGCCCAATTACCCTCCCCTTCCCCAATCTCCCCAATCCCTGAATCCCCAACGATCCTCAAACTCCTAATCCCCAAAAGGCCGGTAACGCACTTGTAACGCCTCTGGTGTTCTAGGTGTCTGAATTTAATCCTTTATGACATCCTCGTTGGCCGAGTGGTTGCAAGTGCAAGTGCGAATGCTGGGCAAGGAGTCTCGAGTTCAATTTCCGGGTCGGGCAAAGTATTACTAGACTTTTTTTTAATTCTCAGTAGTAGCATCACTATTTAGGAGCCTGGAATTGTGCCGGTATTTGGCAATAGGCTCACCTCTATTACACGGGACTCATAACATAAATAGTAAAAATGGGTGTTACATTGTGACTGTGCCATTGTGCACCTCTGCCTAATCCTTTGGAGATAAAAGGCGTGATATTATGTTGTTTATTTCTTTATCACCTGATGGTGAAGTTTAGCAGTAAACATTTTGATAATGAAAAGAAAACATTATTGCTTAGATTATTAATAATAATAGCGTCAATCGATACTCACCCGATAACCATATTGATACGGCGCAATTTTATGTTTTCTTACTTTAATAAAAATTATATTTTCCTGTTTATTTGCTTCGCAATTTTTTTCGATCATTTTATCCTTTTTTATGTTTTTATAAAGCTTTATTTATTTTATAGTAAATTCTAATTAAAATATTAGCACGCTGACATTTTGTTTGATATTGACAATATCTGTCAGTAGCTGTCGTTGGTTCCCTTCAAAAGTTTTCAAAATAGGTTCAATGTAAAAAGTTTTATAAATAAAACACATTATTTTTTTATTATAAAACTTTATTAAAATTCAACTTAACAAATAAATTAAGTCATTATAAAAAACAGCTTGAACAAATAAAAACAAGTAGGTACTAATAAAATTATTATGTACTATTTTCCACATAGCATCACGCCGTAATATTAGGTAAGGAGGTAAGCACGGAGTAAATTTTACAATCATATTTAACGAGTTATGTTTTTTATAGTCATGTTTAATATAAAGCGAGCCTTTTAAAGGCAGTCTCGTCAGTCAGTATTTACATTTAACTGAACTTAAAATCGTTGATAAAACTGTAAAATTATTCTGTTTATTCAATAAAGCCACATCAGTTGTCTAACCGTCTAGAGAGATTTTTTTTTCGAACGGAAGATCTGTGTATTTGTAAAAAGCGCCATCTATGGACGACTGTTAGAACAATTATTTTTAATCTCGGATTTCTTGCTGGACAGTTAGACATAAGTATCACATCAGTGATAATGACCGGCCTAATGGTAAGCAACTTTTTATTTATTTAATTTTTATATCAATTAATTACAAAGGTTACAATGACAGTAATGTATTCAATATTTCATAGCAGCTTAATAACATTTACAACACTAAAAGCATAAGAAGGGCGTTGCATTGAAACTTAAATTGCACCAGTATTGTCCAGGAGTCACCCAAAAGTTGCCATCATTTCCGGCGAGGATGACTCCCCGGAAATGATGGCGCATTTACTAGAAAAATATACAAGATATGCTATATGTCAGTCGCATATATTGGTAGCACATAACACAGATGAGCACATCGCTGCGCTTTACCATGCAGTGTTTGCACCAAAAGCTCTTCGTAACACCAATACATATGTATGTTCCAAACTATGCTTGTTATTATAGGCTAAAAAAATAGTGAATAACGACTTAGTCATTGTTTGGTTTTTAGGGCTCCCCGGAAATGACGGTTCTGAACAACAGTCGGGCAAAATCTCTTACTAGACGAATCATTCTAGTTAACTATGCTGTATTATGTCGGTCACATACATTGGTAGTACATACATAGCGTAAATGAGTGTATGATTGCCCTTTACCTTACAATATTTGCACGTAAAGTTATCCGTCGCATGCCATCGATACATGTGTTTCTAGAAATACTTGTACTTTCCTACCAGTCAAACACAATACTTAAGTTTTATTTTAATGTCAGGCCAACTAAAACATTACATAGGCATTTCCCATCAGTCTGATTTAACTTGAATTGTGTAAAGAATGTTAGTAACGACGCCATACTTTTTTGAGTAAAAAATCATACTTATTTTTTGTTTCTGTGTATGGGTGAAATCAAAACTACTTATTTTTAACTTAGAAAAGCACCCTTTTCTAAATAGCAGAGCTCACGCGTGAATTTAGATATTACTACTGATTTTATTATTCACAGATTTTATTTTCTAAATCTAAGACGTGTTGTGATCGTAGATAGAGATGAATACAGATACACTGTCATCATCCCTACTCCTACCGCGGATTTTATAAAACCGACTAAAGAATTTTGCATTTGATTGGGTAGTGTCGCTCTGAAAAACCTGACCTTTTTTAACTACGACCTTCAACCCGCATACATAGAAAGGAGATTATAGCAACTCACTCAAGTTTAGGAGGCCCGTAATCTAAGAATGGATTGTCACGGGCTAAGAGTTTTATTACTATTGAATAAATATAGCATTTGTGATGAAAACTTTGTGACAATTATACTAAATTGTATTGTGAACTTGATTGAAAAAGAGTAAGCTATGGAGTTTCTTGCACGTTCTTCTCCATAGGAATCTACACCTTGGAATGAGCAAATAGCTTCACTTTTAATTTTTTTTGTTGACGTTCAAAAGTGCCCTTCTGGTCTAATTGAAATAAATGATTTTGACTTTGACTTTGAAATCAACAATTAGCAAATATCATAAGAACCTTGCTTTCTCAGATAGTCAATAGTTTTAATAAGTTTCTATAAGTATTTAATTATACTCTCATATTGAAAATTTGTAAAACCATTTGCTTAACCTGTCGTGTGTCTAAACGTGGATTCATGCGAGACACAATGTATTTTCTATTGTGTATCATATACAGACATTTAAGCGGTAAAACCCATAAAACAACCTAAGACCTTTTGTTCACCAGCCACATTACAATCAATGCTAACAAAAACTGTCTTCTAATTAATATTAGAAGTTTCAAATGACCGGCCATCTTAACTTATTCAATTCAAGTACTTCTTTCTAAGTCTACTTGCTTTTGTCAATAGCTTAATTTGCGTTAAAAAGTGGAAAATAATCATCCATTGAGTTTGAATGTAAAATTCTAGTTAACTAATCAATTCTTAAGCAGTCAACGGTGACCGCTCTTCACTACCATCGGTCGGTGCCATACTCCATTATAGACCTTATTTCCAATGTTTAGAGACTACTTTTGTATGAACAAATATTGGGGATTTGGTGATTGTATACGAGTTAAAAATAAAGAATGCAAGGAAGAAAGCTATTTAGGCATGAAAGCGTGATAAAGAGGCACGCTTTGGTATCCTATTATTTAGGATTTAGCACAAATATTTATATTGTTGGTAACATATTGGTCATACATATTATTGCTTTTCTATACTATTGAGAGGAACATAGCTTGATGATATACGATCAACGCAATACCAGAGGTATCCCAAATCTATTGCCAACTGTGTGAACTTTTTATCGTCATCATTTTCGGGGAGCCAGTTTTCCCCGAAAATGATGGTGAAGTTTGTTAATATCATGTGATATAAGCATTATTTTTAAATATTATTTACATTGTACTATAGTCAAATTTCTATTAAATACTGTAGTTAATATTATTATTGACAGTTTGAGTAATAAATAAGCCAACAAGTAACATTTTTATAATACCCCAGCGGGGTATAGAACGCGAAATCTACAGTAACTTGATAGGAATCAAAAGCGACGGTTTAAAATCTATTTATTAATCGAATTGTTAGGCTTATTTAGGCACAAATCCAGACTTTAGGCTTTTGTAGACAAATCTAAGGATTTTATAGCTTACTAACATACATTGAAAGTTCATTTTCAATTGGTACATATAGCAAAGTTTTATTTTTTAAATATAATATTAGGAACATGCTTATAGAGTACAAGTATAAACATACCATCACGCCATTTTACCTTGAAGAACAGCAGAGTTATATAGTTAAAGCCCAACTATTTGTCAAAAAATGAGTATATTTTTTTACTCTTGTCTGTCCCTTTGAAGAGAAACGGGCGTAATGTTACGTGTAAGTAATATCATTATTTTCAGAATTGAAGGCGTATACCATCATTTGAACTTGTTTGACATCACTGTAGGTGTTGATTTACGAATTCCCTGAAACAAAAAATAATTGAATTAATTAAATTAATCTACCTTATTGATGTATTGGTCGCCAGTGCAACTGTAAACATCTCATATTTGATTATCCTTTAGGGAAAAAATATAATTTATTTCATTGAAAAACCGGAAGTAACTAATTGAATAGTACAAAAACCTGTTCAATTAGGTCATCATTTTAAGGGACTAACGTCATTTCCGGGAACGGTTGTTCCCTAAAATGATGGCATAAAAATTTGTTACAAAAATAATTAACATAGTTAGTAGGTATACATAAAATGGTATAATATCCTCACCCCAAAACGTTAGGTAGGTCAGCAGCAGTACAGATCCCCTTGTGGCCGAGGTCTTCCTTCTTTTCAAACGCATGCAACTTGATCATAGCGTCATCTGTACTCCGAGATTGTAATATCGATCTGTATAACTGAAAAATTATGGACAACACCTTTATTACTATCCTACTAATATTACAAATGCGAACGTTTGTATGTTTGTTTGTTACTCCTTCACGTCAAAACGGCTGAAGTGATCGAGAAATTGGTTAAATAAATAATTAATTAATCTAACTAGCTCTAAGCTCTCTCATTTAAGTGTGGGAGAGCCATGCTTCGGCACGAATGGGCCGGCTCGACCGGAGTGATACCACGGCCGAGCAGAAAACCGACGTGAAACAACGCTTGCATTGTGTTTCGTCGTGTGAGTGAGGTTACCGAAGGCTTAATTGGGTAATTGAGCCTTCCCCAATCTCCTCAATTCCTGAATCCCCAACGATAATCAAACTCCTAATCCCCAAAAGGCCGGTAACGCATTTGTAACGCCTCTAGTGTTCCAGGTGTCCATGGGCGACGCAGATTGCTGACCATCAGGTGATCCGTCTGTTCGTTTACCGGCTTATGCCACAAAAAAAGATAACATTTGAAACGGCGGCACAATATGATCTGTAATACTTTTTGTCGCACGGAAATGCGGGTGAACCATTTTTACAAATATGTAGATACAATATGGATTATCAAAAAGTAATTAAACTCTTAACTATTACGCTGAATATTATTTATGATACGATTTCTAATAAAATGTCGCAATAATAACACAAAATAGTCTGAAATAATATATATATATGGGAGCATGGCCGAAGCCGCTGACAGAAGCTAGTATTTTATAAATTAGAACAAAACCTTTTAGACTAACTATCACGCTATAAAAATACACTCGGGACCAAAGTAACGAAGCCACTATTTTGACTTCTCCCGCCTGGGTGAGGCGAGAGGGAGTGTCAGACTCTTACTGACTAAAAACCACACCGTTCCTACTCCTGCACGCCGAGCCGGAGCCCCGGTTACCCGTTAAGCCCTCCGCGGCTCCGTGTTGGCATCAGCCCTATTGGACCCTGTCTGTGGTAGTCTGTAGGCTTAACGGATTTACTACCATTTTTTCTATTTAATTTCTAGTTAAACATTTTCTGTTACTTGTAATTAAATAAAAGTACTTGTACTTGAGTAATTGGTAACTTATGTCGTATAAAAGGCAATTTAGTTACCTTTAAAAAGAGAGTATTGTATTGTAAAAAGTATTACTTACTATTTCGATAAAATGAAAAAAAGAAAACCACCAGTGGTCCCATTTTTTTGCTCCCAAGTGTAGTTTTTAAGATACTCACTCTCAATCCCACCACGAAAGGCACGATAACATCATCCTTAGCATGCAGTATGAGTACGGGCAGAGACCTCACTTTCACTAGATACTCGTCAGATTTGAACGTTTGTTCGTTATTACTACGGAACGGTTCCACGAATGTCCAGTCGTAGTATGGGAGCCAGGTCACTAACTGTAGAAAAAGAAAAATATTTATTATTCACTGTAATCGTTTCGTTTGTTTGTATAAAGCTAAATTTTATTTAATTATGCTGGTCGGTCTATTAGTGATTTCATTTTATTTTCATTTAATTTGTAAAAATCTCAACATGTGTTTTTTTCTCTTTTCTGAACCATATATAACCACAAAAAATTATATATAATTATCATACTTTTGCCTTTCCCCTCAGGGATCAAAAGGCGTAATGTTATTTATGTTTTCTTATTATATTTTATTAGTTATATAAGTTTGTGTGATGGTGTTTATGATTTAATTTATATTCTGTGGAAAACGCCGTTGGTTACACATTTGTTCGAACTACCTATGTATTGTGTCATCATAATGTATCATGTAATACTAATGTGTCACTGTTTGTTTACCCAAATAAATAAAAAAAATCATAATAATTGTACAAAAGGGATGAAAGCATTCAGGATATACCTAATTACTTATGATATAATAGTTTTTTTTTCACTAATTAAATAACGCCATCATTTTCGGGAATGTCAACGGTGCCTCGAAAATGACGCGAAGGCGCGTTTAAAAAGTTTCCTCCATCCACTACACAGTAGTGTGTAAACTTATTATAAAAAAATGGATGGTTTAGATTCACAAATCAGCCCGGCAGATGGCGCTGCAGTCTACTGAACAATACCTCTTCTTACACGGAGAAGATTTGAGCATTAATCACCATGCTTGCGGGTTGGTGATTACAATATTATAATTAGAAATTATATGCCCAGGTTCCCCCTCACGATGTTTTTCTTCACCGTTTGTCAGTGGTGTCTAGGTAATCTGATTCTGTACAGTCAAACTTTACTTTTTATTTATACTTTTTTTCATAGTAACATATTTCAGGACCTTGACCTTAGGCTTTTTTTTTTTTTAAGGGGGGAAAATCATCGAGTGACTGCTCCCGCCTGGGTGAGGCGGGAGGGAGTGTCAGACTCTTACTGACTAGAAACCACCCCGTTCCTTCTCCTGCACGTCGAGCCGGAGCCCCGGTTACCCGTTAGGTTCTCCGCGACTTGACCTTAGGCTACATCATTACCAAGTACACCATTTACCTTCGACAATGGATGCTTAGCGACTTCATCAGCCAAATTATTGAAGGGTGCTTCCAATATTAGACCTCTGGGTAGCGGGAGTGGGGTAGATCTTTCTAGTAGTGTCACTGATAGCTCTTGTAGATTGCCTAATAGATGAGATGATATTGCTGTACCTGAAAAAAAGTATAGAACATAAAATGTATTATTGTGTATGGGTCCATGTGTGACTGCCTCGTTGGCCGAGTGGTTGCAAGTGCGACTGCCGGTCCAGGGGTCTCGGGTTCGATTCCCGGGTCGGGCGAAGTACTACTGGGTTTTTATAAATTCTCAGTAGTAGCACGGAGTCTGGAATTGTGCCCGGTATATGGCAATAGGCTCACCCCCTATTACATGGGACTCATAACATAAATAGTGTAAAGTGGGTGTTACATTGTACAGTGGCATAATGTACACCTTTGCCTACCCCTTCGGGGATAAAAGGCGTGGTGTTATGATGATGTTATGGGTCCATGTGTATCCTCAAATTGATGCTGCCTTCAGAAACAGGTAGATTCTGGAAATTAGTTAAGCGACAACGAGGCATAAGTGGTTCATGATTAACCTCTCGAGTCGGTATATGAATAGATAATTTTGTGTCTCGCGTGGATCTACGTTCGTATACGATCTACACGGATATACCACGTTAAGCGTCCCGGTGTTGCTCGAAACTAATCGGGTAATTCTCGTAATACGAATAAACCGTAATTTTTAAAAATTATTATTACACCATTACTTAGAAGTACAGCGTGTTAGTGTAATAAAGGAAATTTTCAATACTGGATTTCTGTTCATTTTATTTTCTTTTATTATATTTGATGGGGCGTCGTTTGACCGCTATCTCGCCTGGTGGTAAGCGATGATGCGGTCTATGACGGACCACGTCGTCCCATAAGCAACCTATTCACTCGGGCCTTGAAGACACCCAGGTTGAAATACAGACCCCGCAGAGAATTCTACTGCTTAGCAGTGCGCACAAGGAAGAGATTTAATTTATTTAAGAATTTTGATCTCATTTAAAGGTGAATCTCCAAACTGGTTTTTATTGGACAACTATATAGTAATTTAATTACATTTTTAACTTAACGTAACAAAGCTCTTTTTTTAAGGGGGGAACATCATTGAATGACTTCTCCCGCCTGAGTGAGGCGGGAGGGAGTGTCAGACTCTTACTGACTAAAAACCACCCCGTTCCTTCTCCTGCGCTTCGAGCCGGAGCCCCGGTAACCAGTTAGGCTCTCCACGACAACGTAACAAAGCTTTAGAGTCTAAAATCTAACCACAATAACAAGTATAGTTTGTTCAGCAGTATATGGCTACTTACCGAGCGAGTGTCCCCATACAAACAGCTTGTTACTGCCGCCGAGCGTACTGAGCAACCACTCGTATACAACGAGCGAGTCCTCCACCACGCCCGCCTCCGTCGGACGTATGTTTGTCGAGTCGCCGTACCCTGGAATATACATGTATTGTTTTTATAAACGTTGCCTCACAATTAAGTTTTTCTCCTGTGTCGTGGGTGCGTTTACAAACATACAAGTTCACATATATACATACACATGACACCCAGACCCGGAACAACAATTTGTGGATCACACAAAGTGTTGTTTCGTGCGGGATTCAAACCAGCAACCTGTGGCTCAGCTACCGTGCAGTCTGCTTTTAATTATAACAATAATTATAAAACAGAATTAAAGCTATATCTGATCAGTTTTAATTAGTTTACTATTTCATCAAAATGTATAAATTATAGGACAAAAACAATATTTTGATTATAGCCTATAGCCTTCCTTGATAAATGGACTATCCAACACAAAAAGAACTATTGAAATCGGACTAGTAGTTCCGGAGATTGGTGTGTTCAAACAAACAAAAAGACAGACAAACAAACAAACAAACTCTTCAGCATTATATAGTAACATAACATCACGCCTTTTATCCCCGAAGGGGTCGGCAGAGGAGCGCATTATGCCACTGTATAATGTAACACCCACTTTTCACTATTTATGTTATAAGTCCCATGTAATAGGGGTGAGCCGATTACCATATACCGGGCACGATTCCAGGCTCCGTACTACTACTGACAATTTATAAAAAACCCTAGTAATACTTCGCCCGACCCGGGAATCGAACCCGAGACCCCTTGGCCGGCAGTGGCACTTGCAACCACTCGGCCAACGAGGCAACCTTTATATAGTAGTATAAGATATTAGTAGTAACACCAATCATCATAATTATAATCATCCGATCTATGTTAAAAATAATCTTATATATATGTGTATATCTATGTTTTGTATTTAAGCTAATATAATTACTTGTTTAATAAATGTACTTATACGATAATATTAATATTTAGTTGTATGTTGTTTAGTGTGTATGTATGTATGTATATTAAATAATCAACTTTACTTTACTTTTGATCGATTACTTATGTTATGGAATTTGTTTATATAAATAACTTGTCCTAGAATTAGTAACATTGTGTGTGCTCCTTTCGCCTGTGATACAGGATATTTTTCCTAGTACAGGCATTCAAACCTAGTGAGGTATCTGATTTAAAATTAAGATTTTTATCTGTACTATGACCAATTTCTTATAATGAATAAAGAATCGTACGAACAAAAAATAAATAACTACTATACCTCTGTAATCAAAGGCGATTGTGTGGAATTCCATTTTCTGGAAGAACTTGTACAGCTGTATCCTGTGGCACGCTGCTCGGTTGTTCGAGTTGCCTGCGAATAATAATAAACTGGTTAGAGCTGGTATAGATAATATAAATCGAACATTAAGTGTGGGAGAGCCATGCTTCGGCACGAGGGGCGGTACCGCCGTCCGTGAGTCACTGCAGGGTGCCACCTGAAAATCAGCGTTGGGCAGGAATGCTCAACGCTCAAACTATATAGTTTGAGCGTGCGCAGAGGTGGAGGTCCTTTTGGCATGAGCACGCGCACTTTAATATTATTATTTTGTTTTTTATTTGTATACTTAATTTCTGTTATTATCGTATAGTATATTATTTTGTTATACTATGATGTTTTTTATTATTTTCTCTACTCTTTTAAGTTTATTATTAATATTTTGTTTATGTAAGTAATCTGTATTTTTACGTTTATAATCTTTATTTTGTGTGCTAAATGACTTCTTTCTGTCTATGAGCCGGCTCGACCGAAGTGATACCGCGGCCTCAACTTGTTTAGAATATACTAGCTACTTTTCATCTGCTCGGCTGCAATAGTACCTGAGAATACCACGTACAAACATATGTACAAAACATAACAGAACAGAAGTGTACAATACGGCACTTAATGCCACTGTACAATGTAACACTAACTTTCCACTATTTATGTTATGAGTCCGATGTAATAGGGGGTGAGTCTATTGCCATATACCGGGCACAATTCCAGACTCCGTGCTACTACAAAGAAATTTTTAAAAAACCCAGTAATATTTTGACTGTCCCGGGAATCGAACCCGAGACTCCTGGCCTTGCCTCGCACTTGCGACCACTCGGCTAACGAGGCAGTCATACCTATACAAAAACACACCCCATATAGATAATTTCTCTATCTCTTTTTTTCTCTTACCATGACAGTACAGTACGACAGGATTCTTAGACTTGGTGAGCTCGTCATCAAGTATTTTGTTCAGCTCCTCCCTGTCCGTGCTGCTCTCGAAGTTACCCTTCAGCCGCTCATACGCTGTCTTTGGAAGGATGTGCCAGATACCTGCAAGTGATAAATAGTAAAAATATAATGGACCTATTTACTACTTTTTTTTTGTATTTTTTTTAAGGGGAGAAAATCATCGAATGACTTCGCGCCTGGGTGAGGCGGGAGGGAGTGTCAGACTTTTACTGACTAAAAACCGCCGTTCCTTCTCCTGCAATCGTTAGGTTCTCCGTGGCTCCGTATCAGCATCAGCCCTATTGGGCCCCATCCGTGATTTTTTTTTTGTAATAGGCTTATTATTTATTGACATTCTAATTGAACAGGGGTAATAAACGAGCAGATGGCTCACTTGATTGTAAAGGCAATCAAAAATAGTTGCCGGCCTTTTTGGGGGTGATAGATTGGTAACAGTCACACAACAAAGTCATTGTCGGTCATTTGGTCTGTTAGCAGTAGGTACTCGTTGCAAAACGTAGATTACATATGGAGAAACAGCTCCATTGTTACAATAAGAAGGCTTAACTAAAAGTCGCGGGTTACTCACCGCAGCCAGATCTTAGTACATCGCCGCGACATCGCACGATGCTCATAAGGAAGAACTCCTCTGTGGTTCGAAACTATACTCGGAATTTTAATTCGATTCCAGATTTGACAATTTCAGTGTTGCAACGTTATGACAAGTACTAAATAGTGACGTCGCGAAATTATTCGATATGGACATGTAATATTTCTGGATCGATTCTTCTCGTTTATAATAATTTTACTCTCGTAAACTAAGTATATCAGGAAATTAAATATTTCTGAACCGATAATTTAGTTTTGACGATTAATTAACGATCTGAGACTTTTCTTTTATAATTGTGTGTGTAATAAATAAAAAAATGTAATCATGAAGGAACATGACAAATAAAACAGATAGATATGGTATATTAGTATATTATGGTATATTATGGTAATAATCTTATTTATAAATTGTCGCCGTCATCGCTATCGCTATCCTGTCACTTTCTGTAACATTTATTACAAAACACACACACACTGATTGTTTATCGATTTTTGTGTTCATCACTACACTATTATAGTATGTGGTATCATTATTTCACAAAATGACAGTAGCTAATGTCCAATCTGAAATCGAATTAAAATTCTGACTATAGTAGCTTTTCTCAGCATTTGCACGTGAGTAACCCGCGACTTTAAGTTACCTTAGTATGTATCACGACAGTTATTATTAAAAAAGAAGGCGTACCAATCTTGACATTGCACTTGTCTACTTTGGACTGGTACTCGATGCTAAGGTTGCGCGCTCCCTCGATACCAGATGCGATCGGCTCCTCGAAGTCCGTGTTGGGCGGCCATTGTACTGCAAAAACGAAAAAATATAATTAATATCCAAATAGTCATGTGGTATCGTTAGTTATAAATAACAATGATATCAATTATACGACTGATGACTGAAGCCAAAGAAGTATGTAAGAATCCTAGCAATTGGCGTTCCATAATCTATGCCTAGAACCTAACGGGTAACCGGGGCTCCGGCTCGACGTGCAGGAGAACGAACGGGGTGGTTTTTAGTCAGTAAGAGTCTGACACTCCCTTCCGCCTCACCCAGGCGGGAGCAGCCATTCGATGATTTTCCCCCCTTAAAAAAAAACCCATGGGAGACAGACGTGAAGCTATGTAGGTATGTATGTAATTGGGTAGTTTCCTGGGTTAAAAATAAATTATTTTGATTTTTCAGTTCAATTAGATATTGATACCTACACTTTCATTCATTGATTTGCCGATATGCTTAATTTTCGATTTATTTTAGTTTTTTTTAGATATAAGTGTGCTATTTGACGCTAAAATATGATGACGTCATAAGATAGTATTTTGTACAAAATTCATAGAACAGTATCGTTTTTAAAGTTTCGATAAAAGTATTGAATTTGACTAGTTGTCAACTACCGTATTATACTAGAAAACTTTCATTTTGTCGCATTATAATTCCGAGCAATTTAAATGAGACAACAAAAGCAAAACCGTTTTTATCTATCAACTCAATACCTGTTATCGAGCACACTACAGTATAATCTTATTTATCATGGTTATTAGAATTGGGATGATGACAGGGTATAAAAATTAAAAATATAATTAGTCCGTAAGTAACGTAATGAAAAAATATTAGACACGTATTTTTTTATTTTGTCGTATAATAAAACAATACGTAGATAAAACGAATCAAAGTTTAGGAGTAGGGGCTAAAACGTCATTTCTACATATAAAATGTACATAGAAGTGACGTCACGCGACATTTCAAATCAATAATATAGTCGAAAGTATTCATTTCTGTAAGAAAATAAAAAATACGTGTGTAATGATTTAACATAATCTACCAGACGGACATAAAATAAAAATTAGGCATCTACCCTATTATACAATTTATAATATAAATTGTTGTATAAATCAACTTAAATAATTTCTGGCACCTGACCCAGTATTGAAATCGAAAAAGACAAAATTTCATAAACATTTTTAGACCTTACTCAAGGTCACACTAACACTTTATAGTATCAAAATGAGCAATTTTGTAAGGTTACTTACTTATCGATTATCTATAATTTCGAATACATAGGTACTTATTGACTAAAAAAGCACTATGGATTATGTTAACACATTAGCTATCTATATTAAAACTCTCGTTAGACATATATAATTAATTTTTATGTATTAGCCTTACTCCTCGTCAAATATTTTCGTGAATAAGCCGAAAACTATTTAACTAACCTTTTCTGTCAATCCTTATCCTTACTTCCTTACTATCCTTACTAATATTATAAATCGAAAAGTGAGTTTGTTTGTTCCACTATCACGCCGTAACTACTGAACCGATTGCTTTGAATTTTTGCAGATGTGAAGTTACAAGTCTGGACTAAATAATAGGGTACTTTTTATCCTGGAAAAATTTGATATTCTCGAGGGAAAACGAAATTATTGGTATAGATGGCGCTGTGTGTATTGGTACTACATAGGCTACTTTTTATCCTTTTGTGACGCGAGCGAAGCCGCGGGTAAAAGCTTATTAAATATAGGTACCTACTAAACTAAATCTAATTATGTACGTACCCGCAAATTTTATTTCTGCCGAGTCCCCAGGAGCAGTCACTGGTGACAGCACTCCACTAACTCTATTATAAACCTTATTTCCGATGTTTAGAGACTACTATGTATAAACAAATATTGTGGATTTTACTTTAAGAAGTTAAAATGTGGCCCCACTTTAGAATTAAGTACCTATCGTTTCGCAGGGTACGTTTACAATTTCGTTTTTATACAACCACATAGCCTACACGCCTACACACATCATATCCAAAGTTCCAAACTTCCTTTGTTACTATCCTTTGTTTTTGTAAATATTTTATTTTTAGTTAGTTTTATTACTTCTATGAGACTTATAAATAGCAATTACTTTTAATACAGTAGGTATATACTTAAATAAATTTTGTAGGTGAGTTTCTTGTTCTCGTCCATTCGAAACTACACTTTGGAACGAGCGCCTAGCTTCACTGACAGACAGACGGACTGACAAATTAATTTTTGACGTTTCAAAAGTGCCTAATTAAGTTTTCATCGAAATAAAAGCTTCGACTTCGAGAAAATGTAACTACTCTAAATATCTTATACATACTATTATATAAAGCTGAAGAGTTTGTTTGTTTGTTTGAACGCGCTAATCTCGGGAACTACTGGTCCGATTTGACAAAATCTTTTTGTAACTATCCCCACATGCTTTCACCCGCTCTGATCGGCTCCTATTGACCATTATTATATTGTGTTGGAAAGTCCACTTATCACGAAAGCTTATAAGCTATATAATATTACGTTACGACCTATAGGGCCTGAGCAGAGGGTGAAACCGCGACGGCGTAGTACTAACATGAGATAAAAAAATTGTTTTAACGCGCTGATCTACAAAACTACTGGTCCAAATTGAATTATTCTTTTTGTGTTAGATAGTCAACTTATCGAGGAAGGTAATACGCTATAAAATATCACGCTACGACTTATAGGAGCTGAGCAGCGGGTAAATCCGCGTGAAAGTATCTAGTTAAGTTATAAAAGCCTATAAGAATTTGTATGTAGACATGTAGATACCAATAAATATGTATTTTTATAATCTCTGCCTATACCTAGGAAGATTAACAGGTGTGAAGTTAAAATTATCGGTACATTATAGCAAGATTTCTAAAGATTACAATTTAGGTATAAGTATTGTATTTACAAAGACAATGATGTTAATGACATTTTATCATTGAAGGATTGATTAATACAAATCATTGTACTTAATTAAATAAAGAATGTCTACACGAGACCTTACTATTGTTATATATTATTTGCGTTTGAAATAATTCATTAAAGTTTCTGTTTTTCTATATTTATATAGGTCATATTTAATTGTCTACTTTTTAAATAGATAAAGTTTAGAGGACATTCTAAAATGTGTAATCAGCAGTATAAATAAGTTATTTAAACAAAGTCACCAAAATTAATTCACTTAAGAATAAGATTGCTTTGTTTTTTTTTAATCTCAGTATTAGCGCGGAGTCTCGAATTGTGCCGTATATGGCAATAGGCTCACCCCCTATTACGTGACTCATGACATAAATAGTGAAAAGTGGGTCTTAGATTGTACAGTGACATAAAGTGCCATAATGCGAAACTCTGCCTACCCCTTCGGGGGTAAAAGGCGTTATGTTATGTGTTAAGAATAAAATGTAATTTTGTCCAACCCATTTTACAAATGGTTCTAGTCTTACCGTTGGCTCTTACCGTTGTTTTATTTATTTATTAATTATCATATGAGTTTTACCTAAAGGCAAGATCACCAAATAATTTATAACTGGGTACTTAATTTAACATATTTATGCCAAACAGCTTCGTGATCGAGTCATTAAACATTAATTTACATATAAATATATATAATTTAAACTTACCAAAATTAGCAAAAACTAGATTTCTTCTAAAACCCTTTGAATATTTGAAGATAAGTGGCACTACAGCTACATGGAATACAAACAGACTTGCAGACAATGAGGCACCTAGTATTAGCACCCTGGAAAGAACAAAAAACATTATTTTACTTTATCCATGAACCATACAGCCGTATCATCCCTAAAGCAAACTAGGCAAGGGTTTTTTTTAAGGGGGGAAAATCATCGAATGACTGCTCCCGCCTGGGTGAGGCGGGAGGGAGTGTCAGACTCTTACTGACTATAAACCACCCCGTTCCTTCTCCTGCACGTCGAGCCGGAGCCCCGGTTACCCGTCAGGTTCTCCGCGACTCCGAATCGGCATCGGCCCTGTTGGGCCCCATCTGTGGTGGTCTGATGGCTCTTTGAGGCGCGCGCGGAACGCTACGCGCCGTACGCTCGGGTCTGTTTCTGGTCGGACGGGGAGCCACCCATGCTCGCCGTCCGCTCGCCGTCCGTCGCCGCGCTTATAGTTCTAGGGCACCAGGCTATAGAGGGGCACCGTAAGACACACATTACTGCCAATAGTAAAATTAGTAAGTGGCAGTGGCCCCAAAATAAATTGGAGCGGTTATGAGGTGCTTGTTTAGGACGGAATAATCTGCCTCTGACCAACCACTATATCAAGCCACCAAAGGGTAGGCCGCAGTATCTTCTAAACTCTAAATACCTACAACTGTGGTTCCTACGTCTTCTGTCAAGGTTAACCCCTCGAGCGCTCTTATGAGTACCCGGTGGATCATAAGAAAAAATGCTCCATGCTGCTTTCTCTTTTATAAAATCTATTATTCATGTTTTGTTTGTATTTTGACTGTATTTGTTTTATTTCTATTGTAATGATCCTTGTTTTCGTGTGCCAATGGCCAAATAAATGCATTACCTTGCATGCATAAGGATAAGGAAATGCATAAGGAATGCGGACGCTTGACGGGTTATGAATAGCAAGCATTGTTTCAAGAGGTCCTAATCATATTTTCTTGTCCATAAGTATCAAAACAAAATCTAATGTTTTAAACATTTATGATGTATATAATATCTTATTTTACTTTTGTAGTTAATTAGTTTATTATTTATATTAGGCCCCGACTGCACTGGAGCGGAACAGGCCTCTTGGTCCATTTAACACACACAAAATAATACAGAAACAAATTTACCATCTCTCGGTACCAGAAACAGAGATTGTTTTTTTTATTTTCTTAAAAATAAACTTACAACAAGGGCATTGTAGTAGACTTCTACAAAACTGGTATTTATGTAAAAAATAATAGGACAACTAAACGTTTTTCCACAGCAATGTTTTTTTACGACTCAAAGAAAATAATAAAAATACTAATATTTATAGTAAACACAAATTAAGTAGTTCAGTTCCCTTAACAACACTCCTTTGTCCTTACACACAGATAAATTAGCATATCAGACTAATTACAGTGCCGATAACAGATAATACAGGATTAAAAATGTCCGTACTAAAGTCCGTAACACAAATAGTTGTTCTTTATCTAGAATTAAGATAAAAAAGCAGGTGATAGACAGTGTGGCAAGTGCATGAGATATTCATGTTATTACTGGTAACATTCTATGTTTATTTATTTATTTATACTGCCTATTGTATTGCTAATAGTCTGTTTTGCTTGAAAGAAATTTAATTTCTTAACAGATAATATGTTTTTGACCTTGAATGGAGTTCAAGGAGTTTGTATAGTTGTATCTACCTATTATTTTATATATCTAGGTGTATATTTTTGAATTTGAATTCAATTTCTTTAATATATAAAATATTACAAGTAATAATTGTAAGTTCATTAAGTATATTTTATTTCTACTTATAAAATATTTCCAGAATACTTCTATTAAACAATTTTTTTTTGTTTTCTCTAAATTCTTATAAATTTATGCAATGCATGCAAAACTAGTACACACTGCAAAACTAGCAAGAAATGAAAGTAGGTAATAATTAACTTTCTTTTAGGTCACATACTTTCTCTTTACACTCAGCAAAAATGCATGCAACACAATAAAATAATAAAAAAAGGATTATTGGTCTTGCTGAATGACTTGTGATCTTGACCAGTACATGATATAATTAAAAAATAAATAAAAAAAGTTACATTTCACTTACCCAGCTGTGTAAAGAGGCACACATATCAACAGTCCTTGGAATTCTACCATAATTAGTTATTAAAAACAATAACAAAAAAGCAGGCAAACAAAACAACAACTACACCGCACAAAATTTATTAGAAAAAATTAACAACAAAATAAATAAATGTACACAATGGTTTACGTGCGTTAGTCTACGACGGGTTGCGTCAGATAAATAAATTAAAATGATGAATTGAATCGGGGTCGAGACTAAGCTAATATTTTAATTCATGAAATCATCGTCCACTCGGTATTTAGATTATTATTTTATCGGTCAATTAATACAAATTATTGCAAATCATGAATCGAACCTTCGAACTTTTGACGACATTTGATTTGACACGACAATTTGATTTTGACAGAATAAAGACGTCATGTTTTGAATTCTGCCATTGACATTGACATTGTCGTTTAGAAATATGATCAAAATATTTTGTGTTTACCTGTTTATTTTGTTCTTGCTTTACCTTCGTCTAACCTAGGTACTTTGTTGGACGACACCACGTTCCGCGCTGCAATTTGTTTAAGGCTTGGAGCTTCATTTTGTTCACCTCATCGTTGTCGTTGTGGTGAAGTTGTCAACAGTCTTGGACACCACGGCTTGTCATGTAGCCGTAGTGCGGGCCGTTTTGCTCGACACGCAAGTATTAATGACATAATTCGTCGAGCTCTTGCCTCCGTTGGCGTGCCAGCTACTTTAGAACCTAATGGCTTGGTACGCGACGATGGCAAGAGACCCGACGGTATGTCATTATTCCCTTGGAAGATGGGTAGGGCTTTAGTATGGGACGCCACTTGCGTTGATACTCTGGCGCCATCCCATCTTCCAAGCTCAGCGTGTCGAGCCGGTGCTGCCGCTGCCGCTGCCGAGAACCTCAAACGGCGTAAGTATAATAGCCTGATTGGCAATTATGCTTTCGAACCGTTTGGGGTTGAAACTTTAGGGCCGTGGGGCCCAAGTGCACATCTTCTTTACAAAGATATTGTAAGGAGGATGGTTGACACTTCAGGTGATCGAAGGGCTGGCTACTACCTTGGGCAAAGGTTAAGCATTGCCATTCAACGTGGCAATGCTGCCAGTCTTTTGGGCACCCTACCTCACGGTAGCGATGAGGAAAATATTTTCTTTGATGCCTTATAATTTTTTTTTTCATTTTTGTGTTTTGAATTTTCGATTCATTTTTCTAAAATATACATTTTAGAAACAATACAAGAACTGACAAGACCTGTGTTATTAAAATATGAATATTAAAACGTACATTTAATTAAAGTTGTTCATATTTCATGAAATATTAAACCCAGCTTCGTAATTAGTTGTCTTTTCTGGTTGTTTTTTAGAATAACTTTGAAACTTGTACCTATATGTATTTAGGATACCCGAGCTTACGGCGAGGTGCATTCCGCGCGCGCCTCAAGGTGCCATCAAATTCAGACCACCACGGATGGGGCCCAATAGGGCTGATGCTGATATGGAGCCGTGGAAGACTAAATAACCAGCCGGGGCAACCCGCCGGGACTCCGGCTCGAAGGGCAGGAGTAGAAAGGGGTTGAATTTTAGTCAGTAAGAGTCTGACATTCCCTTCCGCCTCACCCAGGTGGGAGAAATCATTCGATGATTTCCCCCCCTAAAAAAGAAACAATTAATATGTACGAGGATTGTCATAAATAAAATACAATATTGTCATTAACTAAATATTTAATTGCAGATACTTTTTAGTCTTCTTTTGCTTTTTAGTTTTGGTGTAAATAATCCGCGTTTGATTATTATTTCGTATAATTTTAATACGAGGTCTCTTCCTTTTGGTTTCTACAGCACCATCCGTTTTTTTGTCGTAAACTGCCAATCGAGGTCTGGTAAAGCATCTAAGTTCTACAATTTCTGTAGTAAAAATTTCGTTTTTTACTTTAGCAGCTTTTAAAATATTCTTGACAGCTGGAGCCCAATAATGGTATTTTCCATATAATTCAGCGTAATTACCTATCAGACTCCCTGATAATTCAGCTTTATATGTTATCTCAATCAGGATTATTGTTCTTGAAACAATTAGTTTTGTAACTGCCGTCTGTTTTGGTACAATCGTTATCAAACCTTTATTAGTTATCCCAACAGGCATTTTAAAATTCTTCGTGCTTTCATTCCTCCACTGATTTACGACTTCAGCCTTTCCATCTTCAAAATTAAGGATGAATGTTGTATGAGCATTATCTCCCGGTAGTCCTGTCTTTGACCACGTAGAACTTATACTGTTATCCATAACTTTATACATACTTCTTTTAGCTGTCACTATATTTGTTGTATTATTAATATGTTCATGTGTATCTAGCACTATATCTTGGTTGATAATATCTATGATCTTAGTCCTAACAATAGTTAATTTTCGTTTCATTTGTTCCCATTTGAATTTTGTAAATAAATCTCCGTAGGGTGTTGGGTTTCTTATGAATATGTTGTCTGGTACTTTACCCAGTTCTACTCGCATTCCTCTGTTTAGTTCCGCCATGGTGACATTGAACAGTTTTAAATCGTCATCAGTAACTAGTTTGTGATCACTGCCAGTATAACTTGCATTTACTGTAACGTCTGTATCATTTGATTTCACTGTTATATCAACTTCTATTCGTCCGTTTACAATTATTATTGGTAGTAAAACTAAAATAAGCACTAACATTTTATAATAATACAATCACAATTTTCTAAGAGTTCTATAGGTATAAACTTTAATACGTTTCAATAATAAATAAGATTGAACTGTTTATAGTTTCAAGAACTCGATCTTGACCTTTTTATCTTCATGTGCATAATCATATTTATCAGTAGGGAAGAAGCGTAGTTATATTTAAACAACAGCTATACATAGAGTTAGATTTTGGCCGTTTATCACTTCCTCAGTGACGAAAAACTAAGGTTCACACAGCAGTGATACAACAAATAAATTAGTCAGTATCATTGCAAAATTTGGAAGAATCAGTAGTTTGTAGGCTATAAAAATGGACTATAAAGTTATAGTGTTGGTGCTTCTAATAAAAGTTGTGACTGGACGTATTGAAATTGATATAAATGTGGATGAAGATGAAAAAGTTAACATAAGCTATTCAGGATCGGAGTTAAATTTAATATCGGACAATGACATCAATCTGTTCAAAGTACAAAGATTACATAATGCTGTGAAACAACATTTAGGGAAGGAGCCCAAAGATGTCTACCTTCGCAGTCCAACGCCTTGGGGAGATCTGTACAAAACATACAGCTGGCAGCCAGTGATGCGACTTCTATCGATTAAATCGGCCAGAGTAACGCGCATGACAATGGAACCAGTCATAGTGCTGTCACATGACTTTGAAAACTTATCGAATCAAACGGTAAAAGTTAATACAGGGATCACACAGAGTGTGGAAAATACTCTAACAACAAGTTGGTCTAAGGAAAAAGAATATACGGTTTCGCAAGAGATTGAATACGAGTTTAACGTTGGATTTTCAAAAGCTAAAGGCGTAACTGGTTTTTCGTTTGCTAATAGATGGGGTGTTAGTGAGGAGAAAAGTAAAACCCAAACGATTGGTTCAAGTAGTGGTATGGAAACTGAATTGAAGCCAGGACAAGCTGTGACCGCGGTGTTATCTGCAAAGGCAGGTTTTTTGGAAGTAGAAGTCATTCATAAAGCCAGCCTAGTTGGGAATTTGGCTGTGAATTATAAAAGGCCCTACAGGGGTCATCACTTTTGGGGTCCATTGATCCAGGATGTTATGAAGTCTGGGAATGTGGACAATGAGAAGACCAGTATAGAGAGAATTAAGTTCGGTTTCCATGTGCACGCGTTTTTGAAGGTGTATGACAAGGAAACTGGATTGCCTGTATGAGTCTAGTATGATATTAAATACAATGTACCTACTGATCAAGTATTTATGGTTGTTTTATTTTTTTATGGGATAAGACGGTAAACGAGCAGACGGGTTACCTGATGATAAGTAATCGGCGTCGCCCGTGAACACCAAGAACACCAGCGGCGTTACTAGTCTTTTGGGATTAAGAATTTGAGGATTGTTGGGGATTTAGAGATTGGGAAGGGGGGGGGGGTAATTGTTAACGTCGGTCTTCTGTGAGGCCGTGGTATCACTCCGGTCAAGCAGGCCCAATTTATTTTTAATTGTTACCTATACAATATCAATTAGATTGTGATATATATTTGCACAAAAATGTACCTTACGTACTTACGTCCCTAAAATTCCTCTTATAATGAACAGGTGTGTGATCCAAAAATGATACAATATTATGTAGCTGACTATAGATAGTAGATTCATGACAATGATAACTCACACAACTGGAACCCTTTTATATACCTCCCTCCTACATTCAACAAATTCACTTACCCTCCTTGAAATACCACCAACAGTTTGGCCAAGAGACATTAACATTGAAAATTCAATGAAAGCTCATTAATTAAATGGATTTATCGTGAGTGTGACCCGTGTTCATAAAGAGTGGTGTCGCAATCGCAGCTCAAGTTATAATGGGCAGTGTAATGTTAGCAATCGACACTAGTGACACCTTTCATTTGACGTCCTAGAGCTTAATGAAGGCTGGTTACACAGTAGGACGGTTAACGAGCGATTTGTTAAACCTTAGTTAGCATTTATGATAAGGACTAGTTGAAATAAAATGACCCGTAGTTGATTTGGTGTTTTTTTTTAAGAGAGGAAAATCATCGAATGGCTGCTCCCGCCTGGGCGAGGCAGAAGGGAGTGTCAGACTCTTACTGACTAAAAACCATCCCGTTCCTACTCCTGTCCTTCGAGCCGGAGACCCGGTTACCCGTTAGGTTCCCCGCGGCAACTGTAGTTGAGTAGGTGTAGGATGAATGAAAATGTTAATCCTGTTCTCCCTCTCTCTACACCACGAAAGTAGGAATTTACAAGAATGTGCTTCTTTCCTATCTTCTAAGCCGCAAGATGTGACGCGGGCTTCCAAGTTTTATGATCTTAAATAACGAAAGACAATTTCGAAGCCATATTTGTTTTTAACGCTTAAAGATCGACCCTTTATGCTTTACAAAAAGGCTAACGTTGATTAATGCTGTACAGTTAACGGCAGTTTAACTACTTAACGATGCCATCCACCAGTCAAGAGTTCACTTATCGCTGTTCATTGTAACCTAACATATATTAAACTTAACAATACCACTCCGTAACAGAAACAACAAACGAAAATAGGTCTTAAACCTAGTCAAACAAGTGTCATATTGTTATGAGAAAAATTGGTTAAACATATTATGTGCATATTTTAGGCAAGTTACAGTTTTAAAAAATGGCTATAACTCAGAAACTATAGAACCGATTTCGATGAAATAAAAACAGTTTTGTAGGGAAATTTTCAAACTTTACTTTCTTAAAACATTATCATGCTGTATCTAAACGGAGGTGAGCAGAAATGTAGTTTAAAATAGAGGTTTAAATAACAACAGGTTTCTTCATCCGCCAATGGATTGTCATTTGTTTGAGCGAGTCACACAATTCGATCTTTTGTTTGCTTTAAGTTTGTAATCAAGAAATGTCCTTGCCCTTAATAGATTACCTCTATTGTTCAAGTCGTGATGATACTCCGCTTCTTGGAGACAATACGTGGATCCGGTTTTTCGAACACTTGTGCCTTAGTAATTAGGATTTTTTGAACTTGTTTGTTGTTGAAGTTGAGAATAGAAACTGTTATTCAATAGATTCCGGATACTATGAACCGGTTCATCCACTTATATTTATTTTTCCTTAACCTTTTGTGGAAAGAGGTCAGGAAAAAAGGACAATTGGAGTCGATGTTTAGTCTTTGGAATAGATTCGGCTGAATTATCGGTATTTTGTGTTACTTACATACAGATCAATAGTTCTTGTCCAGTTCGGTCTGGTTATTTAATGGAAATAAATAACCAGACCACATTAATGACGATGTGACCATAAATTAGATTGCATGTCCTTTTACTAAAAAAACGTAACTACTTACCTACGTTTAAATTTTTACTGCACTGCCAATTTTTGACTGCACGGTTGGTGCGGTGGCTGGGCAACCGGCTGCCGTGCAACGTGTCGCGGGTTCGATTCCCGCACGGGACAACACTTTGTGTGATCCACAAATTGTTGTTTCGAGTCTGGGTGTCATTGTGTATGTGAACTTGTATGTTTGTAAACGCACCCACGACACAGGAGAAAATCCTAATGTGGGGCAACGTTTTTTTTTTTAAAAAGTATCTACATAGAATGTAGAATTAACGTTTGTGTTTCATACACACATTTGGCGCACCCCATTCCAATTTATGCATCATACGAATGATAACAGATACATGAATAGGGTACTTTCCTTAGTTAAAAATAAATTATTTCGACTGTTCAATACAATAAAATATTTAAAAAAAATTCATTAATTGACTTTATGACATACATAACATAACATCACGCCTTTTTACAATACGGCACTTAATGCCACTGTACAATGTAACACCCACTTTTCACTATTTATGTTATGAGTCCCATGTAATAGGGGGTGAGCCTATTGCCATATACCGGGCACAATTCCAGACTCCGTGCTACTACTGAGAATATTTAAAAACCCAGTAATACTTTGCCCGACCCGGGAATCGAACCCGACACCCCTTGTCCGGCAGTCGCACTTACGACCACTCGGCCAACGAGGCAACGAGGCGGACTTTATGAGTAACTTAATTTCAGTATTTTTCCAGCAAAATTTTAAGTAATAAGTACCTACGCTGTATGACGCTAAAAAACGCGAAGTCACAATTCACAATCTCGTACAAAATTCATAGAAAACTGTCGTTTTTGACAGTTCGAAAAAAATTGGTATTGAATTTGACTAACTAGTTGTCAAATACCGTATTGAAGCCGCGGCACATTACTACGTATCCGATCATTCAGCCATTGCGCCATACTCATACTTAATTTCACGGTTTTCATCATACACATGTTTATGAACTAATAACGAAATCTAATCAAGATGCTCACGCTTTACACCACATCCCATAACTTCAATAAACGTTGCTATGTCGTTCGATGCGCCACAATTTGGTGTTGCGACATGCCCTAAGATCGGCTGTGAAATGCATCGTATGACCTAACCTAAATGGTCTATTAAATAACATAATTTATATAACTACATAAATATTTACAACTTAAAATTAACTACAACTAAACTATTAATAAAAAAAAAGTAAAAAAAAAGAAAACAACAAAAATTAAAAAGGAATAGATACTAAATTAGATACTTATAGATAAGATAGTGTAAAGTATATATAAAAAAATATGAAAAAACGTTGCCCCGCACTAGGATTTTCTCCTGTTTCGTGATCCTCTCCTCTTGATCGTAGCATGATGTCTTGTAGCCTATAACCTTCCTCGATAAATGGACTATCCAACACAGAAGGAATTATTGAAATCGGACCGGTAGTTCCGGAGATTAGCGCGTTCAAACAAACAAACAAATAAACAATCGAACAAACAAACTTTTCAGCTTTATACAGTAGTATTACTATCACTACACAGTATAAAACAAAGTCGCTATCCGCCGTCTATCTGTCCCTATGTATGTATGCTTAGATCTTTAAAACTACGCAACGGATTTTGATGCGATTTTTTTAATAGATAGAGTGATTCTTAAGGAAGTTTTATATGTACAATACATGCACATTACACCCGTGCGAAGCCGGGTCGGGTCGCTAGTATAAGTATATAAGATAAGATAGGTAAGGATTCAATGTCATCATCATCAACAATTAGAGGCAGTCCACTTCTGAACCAATGGGCGCCTGGTTTACATAATATAATATGCCATGATCTCGACGCTCTGCAGGAGGGATGAAATACACTGTTTTACAATGTTCAGATTTATATAATGACCAGATTGGCGATATATTAAAGAAGGGCCAAATTAAAAGTATCCTTAACTGACGAGCATGCATGAAAAGATTGATGACTGTTGATGAAGCGACAGAGGTATGTAGGAATCGTAGTAATAGGAGTTCCATAGTCTCTGCTTACCCCCATGCGAGACAGGCGTAAAGTTATGTATGTATGTTCAAATTTATCAGAGAGCGTTGAGGTGTCTGTTCAAGTGTGGGACGCACGAAAGGGCTGGCTCGACGGAGTGATACCACGGCCTTAGGGAAAATCGACGTGTAAAAACGCTTGCGTGGTGTTTCGCCGTGTGAGTGAGGTTACCGGAGGCTCAATTATCCCCCATACTTTCCGATCTCCCCAATCCCTGAATACCCAACAATCCTCAAATTCCTAAGCCCTAAAAGGCTGATTTAATGCAGTTGTAATTGTAAGTGTAAAGCTTCTGGTGCCAGGTGTCCATGGGCGACGCCGATTGCTTACCATCAGGTGAGCCGTCAGCTCGTTTACCATAAAAAAATATAGGTAGTTAAAGTCTTACTAAAACTGATCTTTATCCAAATGTGGATTAAGATCCATTTTGGACTTATAGTTGCATGGAGATTCTCAATTTCAATCAGTTCAATAGGCTCACCCCCTATTACATGGGACTCATAACATAATTAGTAAAAAGTGGGTGTTCCGGCCGTTAATCGGCGTTGACGACATCTTTGGAAACTATAATAGGAATGGTGACAATTAATGTTTGTTGTTAATTTATAGTAGCTTACTTAAAGCAGGTAAATGTGAATTTAGTATACGGGTTCGATTCCTGGGTCGAATTTCTCAGTAGTAGCACGGAGTCTGGAATTGCAATAGGCTCACCCCCTATTACATCGGACTCATAACATAAATATTGAAAAGTGGGTGTTACTTTCTACAGTGGCATTAAGTGCCGTATGTGCACCTGTGGTTATCCCTTCGGGGAC